GTTTTGCTGCTTAAAATGGCGTCTAAATGTAATTCACGACGATTAAGCAAACTGAAAGTTCATCTCCAGGGTAAAATATAAATAGTAGAACCAAGGAGGTAAGACACCAAGAAACAGTTATGTTTATTTCAACAGGGAAATGTTTAAAAATAAATTCAGTAAGTGTAGCATGTTCGTACCATCCATCGACATCTTCACCCGTAACATCGAGTGAACTCAGCCGTAACAGGTGTTACGGGTTACGGCCCTTAGTGACAGCCCTGTACTTCATCAAGAATTAAACGCCACAAAATGTACATAGAATTTCCAACACAATTCCGGTTTAAACCCCGCTTGTTTGAAAATTTATGGCATTTTCTCTGCAAAGGGTCAAACACCAACTTCATTGAAGTTGATGATTAATTTTTCATCGAAGTGTAAAGCCTTTTGCTCAATCCTCAAGAATTACTGATCACTACCAAGAACAACATAACAAAATAAATACAAACAAACAATATTAAATCAAGATGGGATCTTTTAAAGTAGCTAGCCAAGTTTTTGTAAGGCTTACCATAAGTTACTTAACCAGATCAGTAATGTTTTGTCATTAATGGTGCTGTCTTGTGGGAGAGTTATATCAAAATCATTGAAAATCAGCTTAACTTTTCGGTTTTAACACCAGATACAGCTTTCTGTTCATGAAGTCTAAGCTTACATCAGCACAGCCAATGGTAAATATGGGCAAAATCATTCTTTTGGACACCTCCATAATAAAGACACCTTCCTTTTATGGATAATTTACAGAGGCAGGTTCAGAGATTTTCAGGGAGGATGCATGGGTGAGGGAATTTTTTCAGCCACAAGGGGGACCTACCATTGATAATTGAATATAGGCAAACTCATTGCTGTGGACACCTCTACAATAAAGACACTTCCCTTTCATGGATAATCTATAGAGGCAGGTCCAGAGATGTGCAGGGGGTGGGGGTGGGTGAGGGAATTTTTTCAGCCGTAAGGGGAAACCTACTCCAAATATTGCTCTAATTAGCTCTAATTGTAAGGATGTTGAATACTTTCTTCCACTGATGGGTCTGTTTGATCAGAGTGACCTTATTGATTTTGTTGGCTCTAAGAAATGAGAAAATCTGTAGCTTTTATTCTTCCATGATATCTTCAACTTAATCATAAATTAACAAATTAGAATTGCTACCTCTTATACTTACCTTCTAGGTGGTCCAATTTATTCTTCACATCAGTCCTTTTGATGTTGATCAACTTTTTCTTAAACTGACCTATTGTCATTGTCGGATTTCTTGTGTAAATCAGTTCCATTACATCTCCTGCAGGGTTTTGATGTTTATTTGCACAATCAGTCTTTATGGCTTCTAGGTCGTTGCAATCAAATCCAAGTTTAATGCCCAGTTTTTGCCACTTTTCATCAGTTAGAAGATCTAGTGTGTTGAAAACTTTGCGTGGGGTGCTGGGGTCTGTTGCTTCTAAAAATGTTTCAATTGTCTCATGGTCTGAAATGAGAAAACAAATAATTGAAGGTGTTGTTGACTTTAATGGACAAGTCCTTCCCTTGTTTTAAACCCCACAACTAAGGACTACCAGTATATACCAGTATTTGACCTCATTGCTATGGGCCTGTATGTATCACTTATGTGCCCTGATCCCATCCCATAGAAATACATAATGTATTCAACTTAAGTTTAAGTCAGTTTAAAAGTATCAAGCAGCAAACATTCCAAGAAAAACAACTGTGTCCTGATATATATAGGTTTGTGATTGTAAAAGGATCCAATTGTAAAAGGATCCATGTTCATTGTGTGGTTTTAAAAAATATCCATTACCCACCCCAAGAAGGGTTATTGGAAATTCCAAGGGGGAGGGAGGTCTCAAAAACCAAAATTTTTAGAAGAAGGTATAAACCATAAAGTTCCAAAATTTCCAGAGGGATGAGGGGGAGCAGGTTCAAACCAAAAATCCCATGTGGGAGGGGTAGGGTTATATTTTTGAACGACATTAAATGTTAAATGATATATTGCTAGTAAACATCAAAAAGATAAGAGAGGGGTCTCTACTCAGTAACGTAGTGTTGTCAGTGCTAACCATCCTTTTTACTTAATGACTAAGATGGCCCTTCTGAAATTACACATTCAGACATACCATAAACTTCTGAAAGTAACGGACCTCGTTACTTTCAGAATTAGCAGCCTTTGGGGCTCATTACTTTTGGGGAGCAAGAAAAAAAATATAAAGTTAGTATGACTGAGCTATTTTACAAAATAAAATACGGAAATTTTTAAAAACAGTTTTTAAAATGAAATGCAATTCTGCTTTCCAGTTTAAATCTATGTTGCTGCCAAATGGGTGGGATCTTCCTGCCTAGACCGTGTTGTCAATGGTCGACAGGAAAGCTTGTCAGATACCATAAACTGTTTCTATCTCATGATGCACTGTTACGTCAGTCTGCTGTAACAGTATCTGAGTGCGCTGGTTGAATTTTCAAGTTAAATTTGAAGAAATATTCCTTTCAATATTCTCCTGTTGAAAATGATATGAATTTGAATCAAATTCTCTTATATTATGTTAAGTATGGGTTTTATTTTAACAGGCTGCAACATTAACTGGTGAAGCATGACTTGAAATGCTTCGTGGCATTAGCGATTCCTTCCCTTGTTGTAGAGTGTCTTAAGGTTGCTCCAAACCTTTGCGGACGTCCTCAGAAAAAAATTTGGTGCTGGTAGTCAACAAATGGAAGGAAAGCGATGGGTAACAAAACAAAAAGAAACTGAGTAGCAGGTGCTGATGCACGATTTCAAGGAGGCATAATGACAAACATGAAATCTGTGGGTTAAATTTTGTGTCCAGTAAAATGGAAAGTATTTGATACAGGAGCTTTTTTGCAGGAACATTTTCAATAGCGATTTCTTACATGTTATCGGGTTTAAAAGCCTGCTTAGCCATATGGCTAGTATACAGATATCCCACTACTTGTGTGTAAACAAATGCTAAATTGAATTGAAATAGGATCTCCAGGTAAAGCCATTTGCTTCAAAAAGATCTCTTAGGAGTCCATGCCTTTTAGGGATTATGACAGCTTGGCGGGTTTTGATTTTTATCAAACAATCTCTTTTTCTCAGTAACTCGTGTGCGTTGTAATATTTTATTTTCATTTTTGGGAAAATGTTACCTTAAATATTGAACTTTATAATTAAAGTTCAATATTTAAGGTAGGCTAAGAAAAAATAAATTTGGTAAAAGTAGCCCGCAAATAGTTTGGAGTAACCTGAAATCAAGTTACTGGATGTAACTTTCACCTGACTATTGATTGGAAAATATATTGAACCTTGGTTGAACTATTTTTGGGGAATGGCAAGGGGAGGAGTTGGGAGTGTTCTCATATGGCTACAAGATAGGTCAGGAATTCTCAAGTATGATTGGATAAAAGAGATGAAATATACATCTGTGGGTTGTAAAGGTATAATTGAAATTGTGGTAATAATGGCAGTTATAAGCAGCAGGTAAACAAATGCATGTCAGAAATGTTAGCTAACATTAACAGTAAACTTGCAAAATTAGTGCAGTTGTAGACAGCACTCATTTCATAGAAGCTAGGTAAAATGAAATCAAATCAGTTGATACTCACTAGACAGCATGCAGCATAGAGGCCATATTTACCAGCCATGCCTAAGATAAAGGCATGGTTAATGTTACATTTATGTGAAATGCTTGAATACGTTTCCTGCTGATCTTCATGTCCACAAACATCCTTCCTGATTGAGTGTCCTGATTTCGTATAACTGGCAGTCATGGAGATGTAGCTGATCCTTATTAAAATTTTGCCCTTTTCAATAAAATTGTTTTACCCATTTTGGGATTTTTCAGTTCCTCTTTCAAAACACTGGATGAAAACCCAGTCCCTTATGACAGCAACTGGATATTGAAAACAGTGCAAAAGGCTATCAGAAATTTAAAATGTATCACTGGAAATAAACTGCTGCACTCTTGTAAATCAACCTGCTGAAAATGGCTTGGCTATCATTTGGGTCATGTTCATTAACATTTCAGGGGCGATACTTGGCACCATGTGAAAACTGTAGTGTTTAAGTGGATGACATCTAATATATTTCAGTGAACTTAGGGGACAAAAATTATTGTTTAAAACATGAGTTTTTGGAAGTTGGCTCACTCAAAGTTGCCCTAAATTTTGGTTATTTTAGACTAATTGGGGCCTATGTGATAGGCCAAAATCAGTGTGGTGAAATAAACATAAATAAACATAAACTACTGATGTTAAACTTTTTAGGATGGCTCTTATCCAGTAAAAGAATGAATGTTAAAGGCTGACCTTCTTTTGGGCTTGCGCAGTATTCTCTAACAGTGACACTTGAGATGCAATTCCTAGCAAATTTGAATTGACTCTGTTAAGCACCCAAGATGTTTGAGAAACATTCAAATATAGAGTGTAAGTTCTTGTGGAATGCATCAAAAATCTACTGAAGACAAAAACTGCTCTAGTATAATAAGAGGACACTTTTAATAGCATCACAGAGTGTACCTGTCTATGACATATTACTATCTTATGGGGATCTTAGCCACAACCTACGACATGGGAACTGTAACGTCAGGTTCACAGCGACTGTTGAAAGGCTGAATTGTCACTTGCTAGACAACTTGTCGCGATGAGACTAGCGTGTGTGGGAGATGCTTTACTAATCGAAGCTGTGATTGACGGTGATTTAATTGATGATAATCGAACGTAAACTGAAATATAATGTAATGAATAAACTAATTACTAGATAATAGAAGATTACAAGATGACAAGAGTCACGAAACAATAATAGCGNNNATGGGTCCTGACCTCCTTCCTTTCTTGTCCAGGCAGGCATCTGGTAGAGCCACTTGAACTTTGCGGACTTGACCATCCTGGCTTGGGTAGACCGTGGCGACGCGGGCGGGTTTCATTACTCCTGTAACTGATTCCAGGCGCGATTACCGCAAGTTAAGAATTACAAATTGAAGGATGTCGAAGCACTGATCAAGAGCACTAGACTTCGTGTTGATTCCAACGATTATCTTTATTACAATAATCCAATGCTCAAAAACGTCAAACTAAAATACAAGTAAAATATCTAGTCTAAGCGACACGAAATGACAAAGCTGAACAATAATCGGATATGATAAACACACCAACACAGGAAAAGGCAAAAACAACTAAAGTACAAATAAACCGACGAAATGAAACTAAGAAAGGTAAAAACATGCTTACCGATTGTCCTCTCTGTATGCCTGAGTAGTTATAAATGGATCCAAAACTTCGCAATAAACGCAACAAACTTCGCAAACGCAACAACAGATCATGCACACAGACAAATGGTAAAACTGATGCACAAGGTTCTGAAATATGATCTGATGGAAACGTCACTAATATCTAACCCAGACAGTTCCAACTCCCCAGTGTTTAACACCATCAGTTCTTATATACATTCAAAGTTGTTTTTGACATTATCCCTATTGAGATGCTATAATTTGCAACTTTAGCCTTAATTGGGTTAATAAACCAACTGAAACTACTGACTATGTAAGGGTTCACTTGTTTTATCTTGGTTTGTAATTTTTTCTGTCCCCCTTCTAAGCCTGGGGTGGGGGGGGGGATACTCCCAGAAAAATCGGGTGGGGGTGTGCAGCCCGCTTCCCAAAACCCTTACCCTATTTATGACCAAAATCTGCGATATTCCCTACCCCATTTATGACCTGACCAAAAATTCAAAACCCTGTTTCAGACCTGCATTATAATAAGTTCTCTAGTTCAGACCAATGTTAAATTACCATAAACATAATTTGTGGAGAGCTTTTGTGGAGGGCTATTTATGACCTAACCCTTAAATCAAAACCCTGTTTCAGACCTGCGTTATAATAAGTTCCCTAGTTCAGACCAATGTTAAATTACCGTAAACATAATTTGTGGAGGGCTTTTGTTGATATTCTTTTTGATAATGATGAAAAGTGGCTTCTTTTTGAAAACATACCCATATCAAGGCTAGAGTGCAAAAACCATACCCTATTTATGACCAAAATGGCCAAAATCAGCTCAAATCGATACCCTATTTATGACCAAAACAGCTGCAAAAACATACCCTTTGGGGCTGCACATACCTATATAGCCCATATAAGGGAGTACCCCCCCCCCCTGGGCCTCTAAGCAAGCAAAGTGACACCTTTCACAAATGCCATTCTGCTCACCGTCTCCCTTTGTGATTTTCTGTTGCACTTTTACTTTGCTTGGTGTCTTTCTACTCTAGGAAACTAACCTTGAGATTCTCTTTAGTTTGATATACTTTATTTTTTGATTAAATGCAGGTTCTGAAATAAACCCTGGGTCTCCAAGGTAGAGACGAAAATAAGCCCCATTTAAGTAGTATTTTCTTCAGGTATACTAAGCTTTAGGCAGCGTGTAGCAATATCTGGCTGTCAAACATAATAGATAAAAGCCCTTGTTAAATAGCAACCTGTTTTTAAAAAATTGATTGCATAAGTCAAATGCTGAGTCAATTAAATTGCTTGGCCCTGTGGTCAGTATGGTAAATTCAAAGATAGAGCATTCTAGATTTGAGTGCTGGTTGTATACTGCTTTTGGGCATAATAATTTACTCTCGCAGTGCCTCTCCACATAGGAGTATAAATGGTTACCAGCAAATTGAATACTGGGGGCAACCCTGCAATTGGTTAGTATTCCATCCAGAGGGAGTATAGACATGATAATTACCATTTCATGCTATGAAGATAACCTTAGATTAATGCAGGCCTTATGAGCCACTCGGCTGAAACTGAGCCTGTTTGATTATATACAGCACTTACCCTCAAGGCACGCTATGTAATCCCTCACTGTATTAATTTGCAGATCTTCAAGATGATGTCTAAATGTTCCAATGGGAAGGCTTGGATTGGATGCAGCTAACACTTTAAACACTGATTCAGATCTAGAATGACGTTCCTGTGACTCCAGGTCTGTAGACACATCATTAAGTTGGGCTAAGTGCCTCCAGTTCTGAAGACCCTTGTTAGTTGGGTCCAGCTTTCGACTGAGTGCATCAATAACATAGGCTTTATCCATCACCTCATTTCCAACCAGCGCCCCTGAAATAGTAGTTAGCAGATATAGTCAATATGTTTATTAGCCATTTCTATATCTTTACAATTCTGTTGAGCAGCATTCAATTGGCACAGTCTAGCCTTAAGTAACACCTCCTGGTCACTTAGTCGTGATGAGTGAAGTAGAATCTCTGCAGTTTTAATTTCTGTAGTGAGCATCTCCTCAGAAGTAAAGTGTTTTCTCTGGTTTACCAGTGTCACCATTTGCCTACGTGAGATGTTAAACCATTTAAATACATCATTATAGTAAACATGTTTTAATACCTGATTTCAGAGGCATTGGGGGCATTGCGCTGTAGCACTTTTGTGACTTCCTCATTGTTTTTGGTGTCATGGTTGCTTGCGCACTGTAACACCTTGAAATAGGAGGAGCTTTGGCTTCAGGCTTTTGAGGTGTACTTGAGGTAGCTCCTCCACTGATGGAAGCTTCTTTCCCCTCAGTACCATCATTTTTAGGATCAACAGACATAGTGCTAGTTGGGTTTTGCTCCTTATCTTTTGTCACAGTTCTTTGCTGTGAATGTGATTGAATTCTTTCCTCTTCACCATCCCCACTACTTCTTGCCTTAGTTTTGTCATTATCAGGATTGCCTTCCCCCGATTGTGAAACATATGACAGCTCAGATGGTTGATTTGAGGTGCCAATGATGTGCTCTAGTTGAAAAAATATGATACAAAAATATGGTCTCAATAATGGTCAACATCTTATTCTCTGTCAAGCAAGCAGTTAATGAGAAAATTGAAAAATCTTAGAGAGATGGCAAATGAAAAATTTGACACTTGGTGAGACAGCAAAATGGACATCTTCTCCATAAGCCCACATCTAGATGATAGCCTTGAAAAAGAAACCTGCACTCTGTGAAGTATTTGCTAGGAAATTTAATGTGCCAAGACTTGCCAAACATTTGACTAAAGTTCTGTGACTTGCTTGTGTTACCAGATTCTCAGAACTGACATTAAATTGTGTGGTAGCCATCTGTAAGTGGAATTTATATTTCAGCTTGTTAAACTGCCCAAGAAACTGTCAATCGAGGGCCAATCAAAAACATTTATATGGTCATAATTACACAAATAATAATATACATGAAAAAAATTACTCGATTCTGATTGGCTGGGAGATGTGCAGTCCAAGTGTAACACCAGTGCAAAAAGTGTAGCATCAGTGCAAAAAGTGAAACTTACACCAGTGCAAATTACACATCGTAAATCTAGATTATGATTGGCTGAAAGAAAATAGGAAATTTTCTAAGCCAATGATATCACATAAAATGATGACGAAAATTTAGTGCAGAAACTTTGATAAAAGTTTTCTCAAATGAGGAAAAATGACTTCAAGAAAGGTCTTCTGGCATTTCCTCCACGCAATTTTTTTTCATGGTTATATTATTAATAAGTAATCATATGGGATTTTCTTGTTCAATTTGGAGTTAATTAGCACTTGTTAGTTTTTGAAAAAGCTGAAATTGCACCCGCTGAAGCGGCTCATGCAATTTCAGCTTTTTGAAAAACTCACTTGTGCAAATTCATTCCAAATTGAACTCAAAACCGTATGATTACCTATACAAACTTTAAAAACAAAATAATTTGTTGCAAACGTGTGTTTTCTTTTACGCTTGACTAGCTGGGTGAACCCATGGCATTTTGATCAAGGTCAGTTACTGTAACCCAATCAATGACTCTTTCCCAAAAACATTACCAGCAAGAGGTTTGGAAAGCCATGGGGTTAGTGGACTAGTTGATGTCTAAGACATCTTCATTCTGCCCGTCACCCTTGTCAAATTTTCACTGCGGTGCAAATTAAAAACTAATGATAAATTGGTCTGCTCTCAGCCAATAACAATGAAGTAATTTTCTCAGTCATTTAATAAAGACTACACAATTTTAGGTAAAATACCAGTTGTCTCCTTAGCAGGCGAAAGACGGACAGTATTGGTTGCTTACTTAGATTACTGCTCTGTATGTGTTAAGGTGAATGCAAAAGAACACTTACCATTTTCCTCAATTTCCATGTCTTGATCTGGATCTTCACGGGGTGGCAGTAAATCCTCTTCTGCATCTCCAGTTGGTGTTTTACTGTATTTTTCAAACTCGTCTGAACCTTTTAGTTCGCCTTTTCTTGATGTCTCTATGCTGCAAGGAGGGAGTACATTCTTCTTATTCTTGTTTCGATTGACATCCCCATTTCCTGAAGCATGACTTCTCTGTGATGCCTCACCATCCGTGCCAGTGTCTTCTGGGCTGATCATTACCTGCAGTGGCTGGTTATCATCTGCAAAGGTGTTTGAGTGGAAGAACACTTCACGGACACCATTGCACAATAATTACAATTATTGTAATTTAGTTAAGTTAAGACACTTCGGATCATGGAACTTTCTATGTTCAATTGTTCTCGGCATTGCCTTACAACAATCTTTTTATTTTTGTTAAATAGTGCTTTTGTAAAAGAGTAAAATACAAAAAAAATCTGGCTAGTACACGAAGAAATCTTATTAAGTATTTTGGGGTAATCTCTGCTATTTGGATGACCAATGTCTGATAAATTTCTCATCATGTCTTATTAAATTAAATTTTTTTTTAGAGACACCTATTGTATTTACGTAGCATTGCGAATGTAATTGGTTTGTTTTTGATGTTCGTTCAATTTTATTTGGTGTTATGTATTTGAGTCAAAACCGACAGATGGATAAGCAAAATTGGTAAATTTATGTTTCGTGCTGCAACGATTTGAAACCACCCTGTAAGGTATCTTAGTTTCCCCTGAAACACGAGAAAGCCAAACTTCATCCGAAGAGGGGTAAATACCCCTGCGAAATAAATTCCCAGTAGTCTGGGAATTCCTAGGAATTCCTAGGAATTCTTAGGAATTCCAAGTTATTCTAAGACATGCAAATTATGCTTTATCCAAGACCTTGGAATTTCTGGGAATATTTGGGAATAGTGGAAGTATGACTGGGAATTATTGGGAATTCCTAGGAAT